TCTTACTTTATAGTTTTTTACATCCTGAATCCAAATATACCATTATTTTTCACCGCTGATGAATATTTCTCAAGATATCGCCGTAAAAACATACTTGACATTACAATAAACAAGATAGGATGGATAACATTTCAAGTGACTCTGTAGTCAAATAACTTAATGTTCTCTATAATAGGAATTTTGTCACATTATGGAGGTATGTCACAGCATTTGGTGGACTAATTACATGTAGTTCTTATTTAGGCAGGGTGGTAGGTCGTGCTGTATGTGAATTGGTGACTACATTAAGTGTTTTGAAGTTAGGTTAGATTAAGAAAGGTAAAGTTTAGGTTATAATGTATCGAGTTGTTAGTTTATGTTGTCTGCAGACTTTTTTTGTAAAATTAAAATCCTGAGAAAAACACTTCAAATTACTTTTTCAAAAATGCTTACAAAAATGCTTGTTTATTAGTTGATAAGGTATTTTTAGCGAATTTCCCTATAGGGAAGTAGCTATTACCGTAGGTGGCACGGTAAGACCTAGACCCGGGACCGATTTACTTTTTCATTTTGATGTCCCCAGAGGCCAAAAACACCATCCGTTCAAATTTTTATATATGTATATATATATATATACGTCCGTGAACGCGATAACGTGAGTAATTTTTGTCCGATTTTGATGAAATTTGGATTAAAGGTGTAAAGCGGGATAAACTTGAATGAGTTCGCGAAACAGCACGATCGGACCATGGGAACGGGGCTTTACGGGGGGTTTTATGGGGTAAAAATTGGATTTTCTCATTCTTGACCCTCAAAACACAAAATTTCCCGATTTCTCTTTAGACCTTTTTATAGAGCTTAAAAAAACAAATAATTAAGTATATAAAAGTATTTTTGTTCGATTATTAGTAACGGAGAAAATAAAAAAAAAATTTTAATTTAAAATTCCCATGTTATTCTTATGGAGAATTAAAAAAGTATTTTTGTTCGATTATTAGTAACAGAGAAAATTAAAAAAAAAATTTAAATTTAAAATTCCCATGTTATTCTTATGGAGAATATTGTCAAATGTTGTATAGTTCGGCCGCTTAGAAAGCGACCTCCTCCAGCATTGGTTTAGCATTAGCGCGCAGGTCGTTTTCTAAGCGGCCGAACTATAGTTTGCTTGTTTATGGATATATTTTGATCAAACTTGGCAAATTTATTTATTTTGTACTAAGCTATCAATATTTTACTCAAATACCCCCGCCGCAGCAAACCTGCCGACTAAGCGAATTTCCATTTGTCTGAATTGATTTTCAGTTAAATATATTTTAATAACATTAGGTTTAACGAGTACCTAGGTTTGCTGCTACAAGGAAACTAATAAAGTGTGTTTTTGAGTAAAATATTGATAGCTTAGTAGAAAATAAATAAATTTGCCAAGTTTGATCAAAATATATTCATAAACAAGCAAACTACAACATTTGACAATATTCTCCATAAGAATAACATGGGAATTTTAAATTTACAATTTTTTTAATTTTCTCCGTTACTAATAATCGAACAAAAATACTTTCATATACTAAATTATTTGCTTTTTTAAGCTCTTTAGAAAGGTCTAAGGAGAAATTGGGAAATTTTGTGTTTTGAGGGTCAAAAGTGAGAAAAACCAATTTTTACCCCATAAAACCCCCCGTAAAGCCCCGTTCCCATGGTCCGATCATGCTGGTTCGCGAACTCATTCAAGTTTATCCCGCTTTACACCTTTAAACCAAATTTCATCAAAATCGGACAAAAATTACTCAAGTTATCGCGTTCACGGACGTATATATATATATATATATATATATATAAGTCTATATATATATATATATATATATATATACATATATAAAAATTTGAACGAATAGTGTTTTTGGCCTCTGGGGACATCAAAATGAAAAAGTAAATCGGTCCCGGGTCTAGGTCTTACCGTGCCACCTACGGTAATAGCTACTTCCCTATAGGGAAATTCGCTAAAACACACTTTATTAGTTTCCTTGTAGCAGCAAACCTAGGTACTCGTTAAACCTAATGTTATTATAATGAAAATCAATTCAGACAAATGGAAATTCGCTTAGTCGGCAGGTTTGCTGCGGCGGGGGTATTTTTTCTTTGAGCCATTTAGTTTTAATATTATTTTGTAAGTTATTTTTAAGTCAAGGATTGTGTAATTTATTATGTAAAATACCATGAACTGTATTTTTCATTTGGGAAATAAACATTATTTAATTTTTGTTATCTTGAGAAATATTCATCAGCTGTGAAAAATAATGGTATATTTGGATTCAGGAGGTAAAAAACTATAAAGTAAGATATCAAAATTAAAAATTCGTTTGGAGGCACCTATACGGAATAATTACCTACGGATCTATTTACTTTGGTTGAAACAATATTCTTTATTAGGCATGTGGAAAAGTCAGGTCAGGATGTACGGATTCGTGGCAACATATAGTGTTTTGAAGTTAGGTTAGATTAGGAAGGTAGATTATAGGTAAGTAATTGGGCTATTTATTGATGTATTTTAAATATATATTTTAATACCCTAACTTACCGCTATATTTTTTATAGGTAAACTTAGTTAAATTGTTTATTAGGATCGTAGGAATGATTTAGGGGTTCTTAAAATAAAAGTTCAGATTTGCAAGGAACAGTGGTAATACTGAACTTATACTACTTTAGTTATATTGCATTTTTTGCCTTATCTACATAAATCAGACTATTTTAAGCACTTTTTACCGTTGGCACTTTTGGGGAAACGCCTATTTCACCCTGAAAATCACGTTTGAAAATCAAGAAAAATGCTACAAATAAATGATTTTCAGGGCTTGAAAATTTTCTTTTTAATTTTAGGGTGTGTTTTTTAAAATTATTTAGTCAATTTTAAACACTTTTTTTGGCAAATGCTGTTTTTACCCAGGAAGCCAGGTTTGAAAAATCTTCAAAAATAGTAAAGTTCCAAAAATGACCCATTTTTGGGCAAACCAAATTAAATAGGCTTATATAATATAATAAACTAAACTAACCTAACCTAACCTAACCTAACCTAACCTAACCCAACCTAACCCATGCTTAGGTTAACAATGTGCCAAAATGACCGATTCTGGGTAAACCCTGGTTAAGTTAGGTTAGGTTAGTATAGTATTAAGTTATTGACACCAAGTAAAAAGAAGTTGGGTACAGTTTCTTAACTTATCTATGCTAATACCGATTATTAGTAAACCTTAATTTGATATTTTCACTAAAAAAAATGCAATATACCTAACATAAGTAGTATAAGATCAGTATTACCGGAGCGGTAAAAAGTTTAACTTGTTTTAAGACTAACTTTTATTTTCTGAAACGTTCAAATATGTTGGACACAGAAGAATAAGTAGTTAATTATTGAACTAACTTAAGTTAAATAATTGTTTCTTCATAATATTGCCAAATAGAAGTGTTTACCACTCTGTATCAGTTTGCTAAAACCATCTGACACAGAGTGGTAAACACTTCTATTTGTTATTGTTTGTTTGTTCCTGAAGAAGGCTAATGCCGAAATATAGAACTTTTTTAAAAAGTGTGTGATAAGTTTATTTTGGATAATTAAGTTAAATAATAGGTATTATTGCCACAGTAGGCTGCCTACTTTGTTTTTGGTGGACTATAAAGATATGGATTTAGTACGGGAAACAGCTGTTTGCTGCCTGCTTAATCAAATGGTATTTCTTTATAATCTTAATCTTTATCGGTACTTTCCTGTTAAAGGGAACATTCATTATTATCGATGGTTTTTTTTCTCTCGATATATCGATATTAACCAATTGAAACATATCAGCTGACAACTACGATAAATATTGTTCAGTACCCATCAACAAACAATAAATGAAATGAAACTGTTCTAAAAAAAAAAATAACCTAACATAACTAACCAAACTTGCTGTGTGACATTTACAAATTCCGTGTTTAACTTGCCTTTTCTGTTTACAAAAGGAATTTTTAAATAGTTCAGCAAGTTTGGTTGGTTATTTTAGGTTAGCTTAGAACAGTTTCATTTCTTAATCCACCTAAACAAGATCAGTTGTCAATTTGTAATGGATCGGAAAGCAAAAATATCGATATATCAAAAAAATCATTGATAATAATGAATGTTCCCTTTAACAGGAAAGTACCTCTTTATCTTTACACGTGCCCATAGCACATAGTAATTTTTTATTTAATTTTAATCTTTTATTCAATTGAAAATTAGCTAATAAAAACAAAAAATTAATAACTTGAGTCTACGCCCAGACCACTGAGGTCAATGTAGACTCATTTCCATTACCTATTACATTAGTTATTATTCTAGCCGGAGCAAACATATTAACATATTTCAACTAGTATTTAAGTTTATACTATTATAACTTTATAAATATAATTTTACTTGAATTATTTTATGTAAACACTGTACTGTATGCTGTAATGCTTCAAGACTACTATATATTTTTGTATTTTATTTTTTGAAAAATTGTAAATTTTGTAAATATTGTGGAAATAAAACTGATTTGTTTGATTTCATTATGTAGGCCTACTAACTTATTGTAGGCTACAGTAGCTTAATAAATTGTACTGGATACTGGCTGATTATAATCATTGTAAGTTAGTTATTAAAAACCTCACAGCATATTTAGTTTAAACATAAGGTTATTAATTTTTAACTTACCCGGTACCTACCTTAAACTATTAATTAAATTACACGGACACGTTAGTTAGCAACCCATATGGCTCATGTTAATATTTTTGTAATTTTAAGTTCATTTTTGTGCTTATTTTTTAGCCTAATTTAATTTATAAGGGGATTCCGCACATCTACAGGAAATTATCTTTCTAACAGTATGCGTAGATTGAGCTGAGAAAAAAGGTTTTCAAGAAACATACTTGCCTATTAATATATAGATGGTATGAATATCCACTAAAAATATAGGCTAAGGCCTACATAATTTATTTATTTCTTAAATGGTGACACTTTTGTTCCAATTTAGGTGAAAATGGATGTAGACAAGAGGTATTGTCAAAATCGTCAAAGGAAGCGCAAGAGAACATTTGTACCATCACCTATTTATGAAAAGGAAAATGTTTCACCATCAGAGGTTAGTAGACTAGTAGACTGAAATTTGTTTATTTATTCATGCTGTAAAAAGAAATCAAAACTATCGGCTTGCGTGAGAATAGGTATCTTTTTCAAATGCTTCAATTCGTATTAGTTATGTATCAAGACTATGTACAACAATTTAGTAACAGACTATATATTTTTCAGGAGGAAAGACAATTTAAACTCAGAAGATTTGTAGAAGACGTGGGAAAATTTTGGTCAGAAAAAGAAAATGTTCAAAGCCAGGTATAAAAAAAAAAACTTGTACATAGACCTGGTTATTTTTATCCAGGATATCAGGCAATTAGCTTGCCTGCAATCTCCTTGAGTCAAATGTAAAAATTCGAGGGTTCTTGAATGGATCACATGCCAATTAGTAAAGGCATTGAAGTCCTGCTTTGCTCAAATCATGAAGACTGATACCTCTAAAAGAGTCCTGAACAGAGTATATGCTACTTAATTCTGACAGTCCAAACCACAGCTACATCGTCCGGATCACACACCATTCCCCATTTCTACCTCTGATGTTCAAACCTATACCGTCCCACCTGATAGCAAAAAAGATATAGAGCTTCGGTTGGGGTGGCGAACTTTCACAATTGCGGTGTTGCCAGATTGTTCTGTTGCCAAATCGTGCACTGTTGCCGGTTGGTGCTGAGTTTTTTATAGATCGTAAATGGGTTTTAAAATGACCGAACTGTTGTAATCCTCTTTTTTGTTTAGTAAGCTGTCAGGCCCACTGTTGATGTGTTTGTAAATCGGGTTGCTCTCGTGTCCTTTATCTATTGTTTTTGAGTGGGTGTGGTGCAACCGTGTAAATTTCAGAACGATTTGGCAACACCGCAATAGTGAAAGTTCTCCACCCCAACATAGGTAATAAAAAAACTCTATTTTCTAGTTCTTGCCCCTGGTAAAATAAATAAAATCACAAACAAATATATAGCAGTAACCAGTGGCGGTTCCAACAGGGTCTAAAACGCATTTAATCCCAAAAAAGTAATTGAGGTTTTTAGATACAGTTCTAGATATTAAAAATTGCTTTAAAAAGTCACCAAATGGCTTAAAAATACAAAATTTTCCTTGAGCCTCCCTCTTGAGAAGGTCCTAGAACGGCCACTGGCAATTGTCACTGCTTTACTAGAATGTTAATACCTTCTTCCCCCCAAAGACAGGATAGTTTCTAGGGAGTTGTTTTAACTCTGAAAAGCATACAACCTCCAGGAGCATACAGGGCAGCGGCGTTGGTGCGTGGCAATGTTGCACCGGCTATAGCCTTTCGCCAAGGTAATAACATAAACAAACAAACATTGTGCAGATGCTCCGTTATAAATTAGTGCAACAGCTGTTTTGGTTTATTGGGACAGTGGTGTTGCCACTTCAGTCTTCTCGTTGCAGCCTTTTATTAGAGGAGACTCTCAGTTATTGTTGAAACAGCTATATTTCTCTTCCAAAAGTTGGAACTGTTGTAATTATCGTCATCAAAGTTTAGCAAACCCCACTTTGTTATAGTTGGCCTATTTTGATGGAAATCCATTTTACTCACTTTTTTACAGGAAATTGTACCTAAAACTAAAATGAAAGCCTCGTCTAAAGCAGAAAAGCTAGTGAAAAAAGCAAATATCCCAAAACATTTTGTAAGTATGTGCCTATTTAATAAAAAATATTTTATGTGTTCAATAATGACTATTCAAAATTACTTATTTAAGTTATTTGTAAACATTTCAAAACGCATAATTATTTTAAAAAGTTATTTATTCTATGTATTTATGTAATTAAATTTATATCTGAATATGGTTACAGTGTAACTGTCACAATGTATCATTAATTTAGTTGGTTTAGTTATGGGAGTTATGATTCTGGCTTATGCCGAGGATGAATCTGGCTAGATTTTGATTGCCTTAGAGCCTGTTATGTCCATTACAATTCAAACTAGTAGGGTTTCTTTAGTTAACGAATGTGAGTGCTGCATTTTGTTGTTTAGTATGAGCCTAGAATGCCTGCCACAGTAGCTTACTAATTGCCAATGTCCAATGCTCTAAAGGCCATTAGCAAACCAATAACTACTAATTCCAGAAAATCTTGATTTCAGTGAATTTCCAACAGGTAATAAGCTATTTCTGTAGTTCTTGTGGAGATGGTGTAAGACCTAGATCCGGGACCGGGACTCATTTACTTTTTCGTTGCGATGTCCCCAGAGGCAAAAAACACCCCCAGAGGCAAATAATTGTTCAAATTCATAAAAGTCCTTCTGTTAGGACAATAACTTATTGTTTTAATGAAATTTGATAAACATGTGTATACCTACCTACATTTATTCTAACAAGTTTGAGAACCAGCATGATCATACTGTGAGAACGGGGGTTTTAAAGTAATAAATTGATCCTCTAACATAAAATTTTTCAATTAATTTCTGAGGTATTTGTAGAGCTTAAAATAATTTGGGTAAAAAAAAAAAAAAAACTAAAAATAGTTTATGTTGAAGCGTTACTGTATTTTATGCGTAATAGTTACAGAGAGAAAAAAAAACTCTAGACCAAATTTTAAATTCTCATGCTATTCTTACGGAGAATAGACAAACTAATAGACAAACTGTTATAGTTTACTTGCTTAGGGGTAACTTTTGATCAAATTTGGCTAAATTGTTTGATTGTCATTATTTTTTCCCGCCTTCACATCCTAGGACGCTCGGCTCTAGCCCGGAGCTGTTTTACAAATTACAGTAGAACCTCGATAGTTCGACACTCCCTATAGTTATACACGGGCCATGATGACAAGACATGTTAGCATAGGCCAATGACGTGTTTGTCATGGTGAAAAACTAGAGTCTTCTTATTGTTTTTGTGTGCGTAAAACTTTATACTATAATGATCCCATTACACTAAGTTTTTTCTAACATGGAAAGTGTAAAGCAGTTGTTGAATATTACAAACAATATTATACGGTAAGAAGCCGAAGAATTAACAATAGAGATGTAAGTTGCTGTATCAGGGGTATTTTTAGAGTGTACCATACTGCTACACAAGCTAGTTGCTAAAATATTAAAATATAGCTAGTTGCAAGCTAGTTTATAAAATATTTTATATGTATTTGCAGACAAACAAAAGCTTATTCCAGCGTAGAGGGATGCAGACAAAAATTTTCAAAAGAAGTGGTGAGTTGAAAATTTAATTACAACACTAGTTCCTATTGGTTGGGACTTTAATCGTCCTCATTTTAAATCAATCAATCAAAAATTTACTTTCATACTCGCTAAATAAAATGTTCTACAAATCCATTGTGTCAAGCAGCATGGCCGCCGCCACCGCTGAGAGGAAAGGAGGTAAAAAAATTAGCTGTAGTTTGATTTAGGCTTATTTTTACGGCCAAAAATATGAGTGACTAGAGTACCGGTAGTGATTCTGTGCAAAATCCTATAGAAATATTTTTTATAATTTTTGTGCATTTATTTTCCAAAATTGCTTAAAGGGGCCCCCAAACCCCCCTATTCCCTGGACCTCTTAGACCACCCAGCAAGTCCCATCGAGCCTCAGTATGATTTTCTGGCTGCGCCCTTGGTCTCAAAACTGGTATCGAGGTATTTTAGTTTTACAAAGATAACTCTTTGAAGTATTATAAATGATCAGCACAAGTCACTGAAAGAATATACATAGGCCTACCTACGACCACCAATTTTTTCTTTGACTTGAGTTTACTAGCGGTTTTAACAAAATTGTATCTAATGTAGATTTAGTAAATTACCAGACAAACTTTCAGTAGCTTGTATTTGGTGTTTTAGGTGTGATGACTAGAGAAATGACTGCCAAGCTTGATGAGGACTTGCATCAAATAATTTCTTTGGCTAAAAACACACAATGTCACCATCAGTGTGAATGCAAACAGCAAAAATCTATCTTTGGGACTTCCGAACATGGAATGCAACTTAGAAGTAAAACCCTATCCGTTCTGAAGCCGTTGCAACCAAGGTAATCAAAATATCTCTGATATACGCTTTTTGGTTTATTTTGTTTCTCCATCTTACTTAGAATTAATTTGTTGTTCCAATGATCCAAAAATGATGACTTTATTCCAACATCCTATACAATTCTATGGTTTCTGAAATTTGTAAATATGAACAGTTTTCCTCAAATATAAATTGGAAGGAACACTCTTAAAATACTGAATTCCTTGTGCTATGTTTGCTTTAATTAGAATTAGAATAAATAAATAAATAAAAATGCCTTTATTTCCGAGCGTCTCTCAGTACAAATATAACTGTTTTACAGAGTAACTCAGGTCAAATACTAACTAAAAATACAATACTATTATAATAAAAGACATCGTGTGATAAAATAAAAATACACTAGAACTAAAATATGTAACCCTACTCTTTTTGGTAAAAAGTACTGTGACGTTATACTTTCAATTGAGCGATCCATCAAAATCATATCCATTAATGAGAGAGGTAAATTATTTATTTATTTCACACGGTTACACCATTTTTACAATAATTATCATGCAAATACAAGATGGCCTATTTAAAATAGCATTATCTTAATGCAATGAAATAATAAATACAAAATGGTACTTGAATAAAGTTATGTAAGAATGCTATACAAGAAAAAATAACAGAAAATAAACTAACGGACAATAAATAACAGGAAAGAAATAACAGGCAATAGATAACAGGCAATAAATAACAGGCAATAAATACTGACAATAAATACGGGCAATAATACAGTCAACAACGGTGCTCTTTCAGATGCATATAGTCTTTGGCGGTCACAACTGAGGTGTTCCAAAGGTCAGCGTGAGGTGACAGGAGGTTCCCAATCCTATGGAGACAAGGGATCACACTGTTGTGCTCATAGTTTTTGGCATAGGCCTGAATGGCAAAGAAGTTCCTTGAGCGAGCTCCTCCTGGCACTCGAAAGTTAATCCAACCAAGCTTTCTTGATTTTAAAAGAAATCAATCTTCTAGGAACGTCTATATGTTGTGTGTCAAGCAACTGTATGCACATCAGACCATCAAAATAAAAATAAAATACATTCCATATAAACTAGGCTATTAATTATATGAACATTTTTCTAAAAGTTTATTTTTAGCAGGTTGTCTCCATCTCCAAGTCCCCAGCCAGATGTTGATAGAAGAACTCAAACGTCAACAATGTCTAGCGGTGACAAAGGCAGCAAATCAATGTCCGAACTCGCCAAAGAACTTTACCCACAGTTTGTCAGGGTTGTAAGCCTCAGTTGTTCTCAAACTAAATCTGCTCTCTTCAAAAATCAAAGTTGGTATCGTCTTAGAAATATTATTTTTCCTCGGTTAGGGGTTTTCTTATGATAGCAAGCTTTTTTAAAGCTGGTTTTTCCTAGACGCGAAGTCGGCCAGCGGAGAGCGGACAACGGAGAGCGGACTCAGCTTGACTTAGGTAATTTAATGTTACTGTTTTCCTAGCAGCGGAGCGGAATGCCATGTTAATTTCAATTCCGCTCTCCGTTGTCCGCTCTCCGCTGGCCGACTCCGCGTCTAGGAAAACCCAGCTTAAACGGGAAAATCCATCGTGACTAAAGGAACACTTAAACTCTATGCTGGCTTCCCTAAAGCTATCGATATAGATTTAAGAACAATTCTCAAATGGTGCAGTATGTAGGCGGATGATTTTAAAAAGCCAATACATAGATGCTGCATGTCAGCCTTGTCTCTGTGTTTTTCTACGGCTGAATATGTTCCCATATTAATTGGTAATTTAGTTATATTGTTCTACTGTCTGGCTGAATAGTTACTAAGAGAGGGCTTTATTCTCCTAGTTTTTCACTAATTTAAATAGGTGAAACTCCCGGAAACTAATGTTGGTACAGATCTTGGATCACCCATGCAACTGTGGGGCTAAAAACTCATTATGTATTAAACAATTGTCTTGTACGAGCCACCAATTGATCTACCGGTTGTTTTAGCTTGACTCCACAATCAAATAGTTCTGAGTATAAAAAAATAGCTTATACTAATTCTGTTGTATGTTTCAGGTTATGTTTCTGCCGTAAAAAACAAACTATTAGAAATCTATGTAAAAGGGTAAGTGAATGTTTTAACTACAGAAGTTATCTTTCTTTTATCTTATTACCTATGAGGATATAACATTTTATTTTATACACACTGTAGATTTTAAAGCAGGATCATGGTTATGGCTTCCTGTAGTCAAGGCTGAGCCCACAGGACAGGAAATACCAACCCTTTATTCTCTCCAACTTCTGCTCCTGTTGAGATCCATCTCAGTCATGGGCGAGATTTGAAAGTGTGTGTGCTTGTGCACTTTAGATACATTGCTCACACACTAGTGACGGACGCTGACCGAAAATGCATTAATTTGGATTTAGAAAGACTTATCGATGAAATGAGAGTTAGACCTTGTCTGTGGAATCACACACAAATAAGTAAACACCAATACACAAAGGAAAGGACCACCAACACATCTTGGATGACTCATGATGACCAAATGAACAAAGTTGGCAGTACCGGCACCGCCCATTGCGGGCATCATAAATAACCAGCGGAAAACAAAAACCTGCATAGAAAGGTCCTAGATTCCGCCCGATGATTTCGCTCGACCAAAAATGTTGTGCATAAAAGAGGCCTTAGTTAGAGGAGATGACCGCCAGAACCATTAATCCGCTACTGCTACGACGTGCAGCAGTGAGTGTATTGGAGGCGACTGTACTTGACGGCTGGAGGAGAAGCGTGGTGGGAGAGACTTTAAGTCTCTCTTGCACTGCCTCCTCCCCTGCATGCCACGCTTGGTGAAACAGTCTGTAGAAAATGGAGTTTTAGTCACTAGCGCATTCTGTTATTGGCTCACACAACTACGTTCTTTTAAAAAAAAAGTTGGCTATCCAGCTGACCCATATAGATGGGACGTCTACTTCAGTATCCAACAGTCAATGGTATAACTGAAAGATTATGCAAAATAATCTTAATTGAATGCTTGACTTGACACTTCTGTAACTATTTTTTTTAGATATAACTATGAGGGAATATTTGATCAAAATTATCAAATATCTGTAAAAGTAGAATTTTCCTGAAATAGTCAAACAGTTAATTGGTTAGTTGTTTTGTTTTACATTTTTAATGGTTTCAGAATGAAAGAGGAATCTCAGAAAACCACAAGTAGTGTGGACACTTCCCCGTTTCCTCCTACAGTAAAAACACAATCATCCAACCAGGAAAAAGGTGTGTTGAGTTACCAGTACCATGTCAGAAGAGCAATTATTTCTTACCCACCCTTTCTGCAGTGAAAGTAAATCTGTAGTAGAGTAATTTTCTTTTCAAAATACTTTTAATACTTTTGGACAGTAAAAATTATTATTAACATTAGCATTGACCTTTTAACTGTACCAACAATATATTTATATGTATTTTTTTAATGCTCACAATAAAAAGTCATTCATTACAATAAACTTAACATCCAAAGGAAAACGTACAGGAAAACAGATTTTATTCTGTAACTTTTAGGATATTAGTGAGATTGAATGTGTAATAATTAAATTCATATTGAAGTTCTTTGGCCCAGGATCACTTCTTGATCATTAACATGGTATAAAATATTACCTGATTCCGTCTATGATCCTAAATTTTATAGTGAACAGCTAACAGTTTCAAGGTTATAGCTTCATCTTCAGGCTAAAAATAAATAAGCTAAATTAAATATCTTGTGAGCTTGTCAAGTTTTGAAACACAAAGACATTAAACATTTTAAAAATAAACGACACAGATCGAAGAACGATTAATATAAAACATTACACATTGTTTGTTCATTCAAAACTTTCTGGAGCTCTGACTTGATGGCTTTATGGATTTCAAACTCTTCAATACTATTTAAAAAACTTCATTTTCTTGAGTAGAGATGCAACACTTTTAAATTCTTCTCAAAACTCGTATGATTATGGTTTAGATTTATTAAATGGCTGGCGAATACTTATTTTGAATCTGATTTTTTACTGGACGGAATGTATTCTTTATATCTTACATAAAATGAACGAGTCTTGTTTGGTCTTGTTTCCCATTATCGCTTTGTCCTCAATCATACATTACAGTAGGGGTGTGCGATGCATCGAAAATGCATCGAAATTTCGATTCGATTCGATTCGATGCATCGAATCGCGATTCGATTCAGCATGCATCAAAATCACGATGCATCGATTTGGCCTCGATGCATCGAAAAAGACCGATGCATCGGTTAGCTCCCGATGCAACGATTACGTCCCGATGCATATTTAAAACTAATTCAGGACTCCAATCCAAAGTGAGTTTTAGATAGGGAAGTGTCAATTATCTCTACCACCGATACTCGGACATTGCCGATACTAGGAATATCGGTATCAAGAATCGATTGCCAAACATCGATTTCGCCCGATTCCGCCGATACCGACAGCCGACAGGGATGGATAGATATTTTATTTTAACATTTATTTATTTGATTTCTATTAGTTTTGTAATCACGCTAACAACTTTAGTAACCAACTTAGCACACTATTTAGTTCAAAACAGCTAAAGTTTATTTTCAGCTGTTCTCTCTGCAGGCAGATGATATTGCACAACACAATAATTCAATCTACATTTCAAGATGTCAGACAGTCAGAATTCAGTCTCAGACAACCGGCGCGCGAGTGTCCTCAACACGAAATTATACTAAAAAATGTCTGTATCAATAAGTCAGATCTTTAAATGTATTATTTTTATTTTTAGAACAAAATAAATAACCTAAACTTGTCTAATAAATGTTCAGTTTCATCCCTGCATTACGCATCATTAGAAAAATTCGATTCAATTACAACATCGAAATCAGAGGGTTAGGCTTGCACTTGCCTATTGCACCAAAAAGTAGATCCATATTATATCTGTACTATCTACCTAGTTTAAGAGTTTAAGTGAAGTTTTAAGTGCTACTATAACATAAGTTTTGATTGAAAAACACCATACGCATAGTCCATGTCGATTTTGTAATATTATAATGAATGGTAAATGTTGACCATCTAAGATAAATCAAAGTATGTAACAAGAGTTCTCATTGGTCGAGAGGCCACGCTGCACTGTCATGTCAGCCAATCGACGTTCGTGTTTCAATGGAGCAAGTGACGATTGCTAAGATACATTGATAAATATCAAGAACCGTTATGTAGGACGTGTTTGTTTGTAAAGAGTATAAAATTAGGTTAAAGTTTAAAACGGTGTGATTTTCTTTTGTCTTACAAAGACCTAGATTTGACAATAAGGTTATAAACGAGTATTGTCGCGTCGTTGTTCCTTGTTTGTTTAGGCCGGGGCCACACTTGTAATTTTCAACCAGCGAGACTGTTTTTTCCGTTTTAACGTGCGACGCACGTGAAACAGTTTGCCCGTGGCCACACTCGTCTACGAGATAGGTTTTTCGGGCAAACCAGCGAGACTGATAGAGCATGCCACACTGGCAATAAAAATCGTCCGTGATACGCACTCCCCCCTTCCACGCTCTCTATACAGGTTAAAACTAGAAACGTCCGTGGAAAAAGTTCAGCGAGATAAGATGAGTGTGTTCACTCCCATAAGCCGCAATGCCCCGCGACTAGTTTTACGTGCAACGCCCGTGGAATGATAGTAGAGAATACACGTGCAATTCCGTTTGTCAGTCTCGCTGGTTCACGGACGTTTTTACTCTAGTGTGTCCTGCCCCATATACCGTAATGTATCTCTGAAACCCACGGGTAACGCCCGTGGAAAAAATTCAGCGAGATAAGATGAGTGTGGCCCCGGCCTTAGGCCGGGGCCACACTTGTAATTTTTAACCAGCGAGACTGTTTTTTTCCGTTTTCACGTGCGACGCACGTGAAACAGTTTGCCCGTGGCCACTCTCGTCTTACGAGATAGGTTTTTCGGGCAAACCAGCGAGACTGATAGAGCATGCCACACTGGCAATAAAAATCGTCCGTGTCCGTGATACGCACCCCCCCCTTCCACGCTCTCTGTACAGGTTAAAACTAGAAACGTCCGTGGAAAAAGTTCAGCGAGATAAGATGAGTGTGTTCACTCCTAGGAGGATAAAACATTATTAGGTTCACTCCCATAAGCCGCAATGCCCCGCGACTAGTTTTACGTGCAACGCCCGTGGGATGTTAGTAGAGAATGCACGTGCAATTCCGTTTGTCAGTCTCGCTGGTAAAACCAGTGAGACTGACAAACGCGTTCACGGACGTTTTTACTCTAGTGTGGCCTGCCCCATATACCGTAATGTATCTCTCAAACCCACGGGTAACGCCCGTGGAAAAAATTCAGCGAGATAAGATGAGTGTGGCCCCGGCCTTACTTTTTCAGATTCCCTATCAAACGCCCCTATCTGCTATCTCTCTCTCCCCCCTCTCTCTCTAACGTAACGATGTACTGATTAAACAGATTGTGGTTGACGACTTTTCTACTTAAGATTCCCTGTGGTTATTTTAGTTCAATCAACCCCATAACCTTTCTATCGTTTATCAAAATAATTAATTAATCTGTTTTGTATTTTATTTCCTTTAAACCAACCCCTATTTACCATCTGTATTTTATAGAATAAAATGTTTGTTTATAAAGTTTGACTGGCCACACAATTTTGTACCTATTTTATTTTGTGTAAAGTAACAGATACTTTGATGATTATATATACAGTATATATATATCAATAAGTGCTGCGTGCTGTAATGAATGCTTTTTATTATCAAAATAAGTAATCAATTATACATTTTTGATAATACATGGGTCATTGAATAGGTAGGCCTACCATAATGTCATGTAGTTTCCTATTTGTAACTTGCAAATAATAATAATTGATAGTTAATTCTGGAAAATGAAAAATAGTGAACGCATTCATAAACCTGTTGTCAAAACAGCAAGCATGTGTAAGGGTTTATTGTTTCAGAGGCTAGGGTGTTTCAAGGACAAAGTGTTGGGCCTCCCGGCTTAGGGGGGAGGGGTGGTGGTTAGAGGGGGAGGAAACTGGTTTTGGCTATTTATTGATTAGTTCACCGACCCTTCTAGACAACAAAATTGAGTGACAGTGACAGTGTTAAATCACCGTGTTCTGTATTTAATTTGTTGTTTACTTTGTTTGTTATTCTATTAATTTTAGTGTTTTGTTCTATTTCCTCCTGGTCCCTTGCAAATTGTATTATCAATGCTAAATAATTGTGGTCAATTCAAATTATATTTTTGATTATTCAAATCTCCTACACAAAAAGACAAAAGTCAAACCAGGCAAGGAAAAAACCTGCTATTGTAATCCCCGTACCCAGCCATTTGGGAAGTGGTGAAAGTCTAGTCTAAATATAGCTCAAAGGTCTCACCCTTCCCTTTCCCTACTCAATGTTAGGGTGCGTTCACAAAGAAAGCTGGTTACAAGCGCTTGTTGGCAAGCGCTTGCAAGCTCGAACCGGCGTGAGAAAAGTTAACATAGTATCAAGCGTGTGTGTTCACAGACAAAGCTTGTACCGGCTAGCAAGCGCTGGTTACAAGCTCTGACAAGCACGCAAGAACGTTTCGTACTTGTTTTCCGGCGCTTGTTGACCGAACCAGTCAGTTACAAACTACTAACAGTGCAGTATGGATGTCGATGAGTTATGTATTAAGTATATGTACATATATGAGTATATGTATTAAGATGATAGACAAACACATTTAATTCAATATTAATTAAGTGTTGTGTTGGATTTTTTATAGATGAAACTTGTATACTTTTACTTTATTTACCTAGAAAATTAAAACATCTGAATATATCTCACAATATTATTTGCATCATAATTAATCAGCTACATAGGGTGTTTAAAACTCCCTTCAAGTATTTTTTTAGGTTTTATTATTGGTCCAAAATTCGTTCTGGTGCATGGATAGGTTGCTTATGCCAATCCACCTAATACTTCACTAAAACACTTTCAATTTTCTTGAGGATGTAATTAAACGTGATTAACTTCCGCGGTTAATTGCGTGAAAACCTCCCTAATTATACATCCTTTTAATTAATCTACATTTTCAATAAAAAATAACTCTTCATCACTTGAGGAAGATATTGTCTCAACCAGAGCTGAGACTACACTGAGCTTGAAATGCAAGCGTTTGTTGTGAACACACAACAGCATTCTCAAGCGCTTGGAACAAGTGCTGAAAGTAAGTTACTTGCAACCAGCTTTCTTTGTGAACGCACCCTTACTATTCCGCTCATTTCGAGGTCATTGCACAACGCCTGCCTCCCGTCAATTGTTTTGCCTTTATAGTGTTTCTATTCTGACTTTTATAAACATAAATTTATTCCTTAGTAGTTCAGTAGTGAAATTTTCTATTGTGAAACAGTAGGCCTACTTTAAAACAAAATCACTACCGGTCATGTCATTCTATTCTGTGTCAAGTCAGTATACCATTGCCATTGCCAGTCAGTCGCCGGCGACTGCTTTGAGTTGACCTATTCTGTCGTGACAGCTATAAAAATAGGTTAGGACAACTACCTCTTGCTTATTTCTATATTGTACTTTACTCAAACTCAAAATCTCGAATACTCGCCCATTTTGTGTTAATAGTATAAATAAAATTGGATCCATTAAAACCGGATCCAGCCCAAGATCCGATTTTTTGTGGATACGATCGGGCGTCGGTTCTAGCTTAGATCCGGCGGATCCGGTAGTCCGATATCCGGATCCGACCATCACTAATAGACAGTAAACACTGATTATCAACTTTTTTGGTTCATGCTGATTTAAGAATGAACCAGAAGTATTGAAAGCCAACAAATATAAATGTGAAAACTAAGTAACAATACTACCGTATGTCATAAAATAAACTCTATTTTAATTAATACAGGTCAATAATAATAAACTTAACGATTGCTTTATTGATATATAGGCTTATTCTAATTGTTAGTGAAGGGTGAATTTCCTTAGGCCAACCATAAAATTAGCAGTGTCCATTCCATTAATGAGGTTAGGTCAGCCACTATCCTCTTGTTCATAATTTTATTTAGTACATTTTTTACTTTAACTTTTTTTAAGGTAAAGGATCCATTACAGAAACACGTGTTGTATTTAATTTTTGAAGAAAATCATGCCGTGCTGCATCGAATCGAATCGCATCGATTCGAATCGAAATTCTTTGAATCGCATCGATGCATCGAATCGAAAAAAATATGCTGCATCGCACACCCCTACATTACAGTTAAGGAAATGGTAAAAAATAACGCCACAGTTTCATTTAGAGGAAATAACTTATAACAAACAACCAGAAAGAAGGACAAAACTGGGGTTTACAAGCCTCAGTGCGATGACTGTGAAACTATTATTTAGACCAAACAAAACTCGTTCATTTTATAAAAGACATAAAGAACAAATTCCATTCAGTGAAAAAAATCTGATTCAAGATCAGCATTGCCAGCCATCTAATACATGAAAACCATAATTATACAAGTTTTTAGAAGAATTTAAGTGTTGCATCTGTACCCAAGAAAAGGAAGTTTTTAAAATATCATTGAAGAGTTTGAAATCTACAAAGCCATTAAAATTCACTTTTCAAGTCAGAGCCCCCGGAAAGTGTTAAATGAACAAACAATGTTTAATGTCTTTGTGTGTTTTTCAAAACTCGACGAGCTCTTAAGAGCGATATCAAGAGACTGAAGACGAGGTTATAAACTCGAGACCGGTAGCTGCTCACTGTAACATTTAGGATCATAGATGGAATCAGACAATTGTATACCATTTTAATAATTAAATGATATATTATACTGGTTCTATTTGATAAACTAATAATACACTAAATAAAATGATGTAATATAAACATTTTGTTTACCAAACATGGGATTCAAATTCCCCTTACTAAACTACTGAAATCTTATTGGGCGTATTGATTGGTTTAATAACCTTCACCTGATGAGTGTTACTTAAACACTACACCGAACAGCAGATTAGATGTTTTTTTCTTAACTTACGCATTTGGAGACTACATAACTGTTCGCCACAATGCCCACAATTGAAACTGAAAATACTGTAATAATCAAACATAAGCCTTTGAATGAATATCTAATGCTCAAAGTTAAAAAAGCAATGTAATAATTAACAAGTAGTACAAATAAAATAATTTATTTTTACAGAACTGCCATTTAAACTTGCGCCTGCCAAGTTTTACTTCAAGAGTAACATGCAGTTTTTGGAGGAAACTATCGGAACAAGCTCGACTGGAAGTGGGAAGTTTCCGGCTCAGTCCTCACAGAGATACCAACTGCGTAACCAGAATCCAAAACCACGTGAAAGGTGTCGCCAACCACCGCTTTCACTGCTGTCTCCACCGGTTGTCAACTACCTGAAACCTCAGAGGACTTCAACATACGCACCAAGAATCAGCAGATACCTACATGAGCCATTCATGAAGACTCCTTCCCCCACCTCCACTTTTCTTGACTTAGTTGAAAAGCCGGTAAGTAATCCAATTTAAATAAACAGTATCAGCAATCTGACACTTACCTTCTCCCATTAGCTTGGAAACAACCTAAATCATGGCTAGTTTGTAGGAGTTACTATGATTAGAGTATATTATGGGAAAAATCGCAAAAGTGGCAATAATTTTGGACGGCTGTAAATTTACAGCATTGAGGGTTATACCATTTTGTTTGGAGTTAAAAAGGATTAAACTATATTTCAAATCAGTGAGAGCCTTTTTTTTTGGAAAATTCAAATTTCTTTGTTATTTTTTTTTGTTTTTATGGGAAAATCACTATTAAAAATAAAAATGTTCAAAAAGACTTCTTGGAGGTACCATATATTAGGATCCACATAGGCTACCCAATTTCATCAAAGTCAGACAACAGATGTGATCTGTAGTTCTGTACACATTCACACACACAGACATCAGTTTACAACCACTTTTTTGGGGTCCAACGCGATCCAAAACGTATATAAACAACCAAAATTCAAACTAAAATTTTGACAAAAACAATACTGTACTTTCTCCATAATTAGGCCATAATAGGGGGAGAAAGTGCAAATGACAAAACAGATTTTCATCGAATAACATTTTTAAACATATTCACTTGTAGGCCTATATTTCAAGGGAAAAACAATTGCTCATATGTTATGAAGAGACCTGTGTGAGATAAGTAAATATATATATATATATTATTGAAATTATTGTGATTAGGGCTATTATAATAATTAAATGCATTATTAAACACTAGTACCCTTTCTCTAAACTCGAAGTTATCTTATACAGTAATGTGGTTGTATTTATTCCTTTCTTTATTATTGTTATTGTATTTGTTTAAGATGACAACCTGATTATGACCTTAGAGTCGATACTAGTAGTTGATTAATATATATAATTAACTAGCTGTGTACCCGTTCTACGCACGGGGATCTTATAATATTCAGTTGAAACCTTCTTATATAAAGAACAGCAGTTGGTTTGCATATTTTAAGATATGCTGGCCAAACTATTATACATAGCTTCATTTTATGTTGTTTTTTGTTGTTCCGGATCGGTATGACAATCAATAAAAGGTTAAATTACCTCTGTGTCTGCCGGTCGATCCTATAACGGTAGGCTTACTTTTATTTTTACTATCTGATCTCGTTTGCATGGCTCAATCACGTCCTGGTTGAAGTTCGTTCGCTACGCTCACTCACCTGTATGTTGGAGCTCGTTCGCTGCGCTCACTTTCCTTCAGGTTAGCTCGTTCGCTACGCTCACTTGCCTTCAGGTTAGCTCGTTCGCTACGCTCACTCGCCTCCAGGTTGCAAATTAGCTGTTGTCATAAATGTAAAAGAAATAATAGTGCTAGTGCTGCACCCTGTTGGTAATCCTTGTAACTTTAATGCTATTGAACATCACAGAACAGAACCAACTTGTTTAATTGAAACAGCTGTTAAGATTCAATAATTTCATTTCTCATAAGGTTAACATGGGCTTCCAGAAATTCCACGTCAAAAATCGACAAAAACTTGATTTTCAAGGGTTTACTGTTAAATATCTAACTGTCTCATATTCGATGAAATACGTCTAAAACCATCTCATATATGTATAGTATTTGGAAAATAAGTTTCAGGCGGGACAGTGCTATAGTTATTGAGGAGTAGTTGTAATAAAGTGCGTATTTTAGCGTTACCAAGAGAATGACAGATAGACAGACAGACAGACAGACAGACAGACAGACAGAAATTGAGATAAGGTTTGATTCGGTTTCTCTGACCTATGAAATGTAAAAATAACCAAAAAGTTCATTATTCTAAGCAATGTACAGACAAAACTCTAATTTTATTTATATAGATTTAAAGGGTACTAGTGTTTAATAATGCATTTAAAACTTATATATATATTACAGGGATTGAGATGGAATGAGGAATAAATAAAATACCAGTGCCATAAAAAACTGATAACAATTTAGTAACATTATAATAGCAATTGGCTTGCAAAAATGAACAAATAAATATGTTAAAAAGCTAAAAATCATCTGATTTTGGTGAAGCTCCGTACAAATATGTAAATGTACGTTTGTTGAAAAGAGTTTGTGAATGAGCATGATTGGACTATGAAAGTGGTTATTTATAAGGGGTGTAATGAGGTGAAAATTTGTTTTCCCCCATGACCCTCAAAACATAGCATTTCACAATTTTTTTACAACTATTTTGTATAGCTGACAATTTAGTACTTTGAAGTGATGTGCACTTAATGGTTACAAAGAAAACTCTAAAAACTCTACGTTTACAATTTTTATGTAATTTATATTTTATAAAAGGGAATGAATCTGAAATGTTTAATTAAGGAAATATTTGTGTAAAAATCCAGCCAGGCAAATGGAAGTTCACTACCAGCAGTTTTGCTGCTGTAGAGGTATTTACTATAAAGGGGTTTTTAAATCGCCTGTATATTAATACTTTCCTTTTGTCATTCCTTTCTTTAGACAATGTTTCATGGCTGTGGTGATGGTCTACATCTTGACAGTTACAACAGTTTTTTACCACCAATCAAAGAAGAAGAAGATTCCCCTGACTTTCGTTACTTCCCAAGGAAGATTTTTTAGTTATTTGTTGAATGTTATATTTTGGTATTTTTTGTATGATAAAATAATTGATTTATTGTTTACCTTGATGTGACACTTGTTTAGAATTGATTGACTCTCACAATTGAGTACCTACTAACTCTCTACTTTACATGCTATCAAAGCAAATTCATATCAATAAAAAAAAACATTGTTTTTCATACATTTACATACAAAGATGTTATATTATTTTTATAACTTAAGATTATGAGCAAACAATGTTGAAATAGAAATTAAATCAATTTAACTACGAAGTAAAGGCAAAATTGTGAGAGTGACCCATTTATGAACATTTAATCTTGCTTGTAAATACATCTATCCATATTAAATGATTTAAAAGAATTTTTTGAAGCCTTTTTGATGGTTTGAAACCGGACCTTGTCTGTTCTTTATAGTTGGAATTTTACTGAATCTAACTAAAGATCCAGCTTATCTTCCATAGTAAGTGTTTAGTATGTGGGGAGCAAGCTGGTCTAAAGGTAGAAGAAGGATTTTGTTCCCTGAGGTTTCAGGTTCAAATACAATCAACCACCAATGGGTTTGGAGCGAAGTAATAATGCTGTGACTTTGTAGGCCTGGCTCAAGTGGGGCTAATGTGTTAAACGGTTCCGGGCAATAGCCTAATGTCCACATGTGTAGGTGGGACAACTATATAGTGTTCTAATATTTCAAATCAAAATAATCTTTTGTACGAGGTTATTGAAAATCACAAACAAAACTGAGGACTACCACCTATTTATATCGCATCTACCCATATCACATTTTAAACATAAATTTCCGACCATATTAACTAACCAGGTATTATATTCTAGTGATTTCCTTCCATCAGTCCTAGTCCTATCTCACGCATTCATGAATTGGTTCTACTCTGAAAATCCCCCTGAGAGTAAGATTCCCAGAAGCTGACATGAAAGAAAGCGGTTTTTGTTATCTCACAAACTATTCAAGAATTATTTTTACACTGGGGAGTAAGTTTCCTAGAAGGTGATGGAGAGGAAGCAGTTTTGCAGTGTTATCAGTGGGGAGGAAGCAGATAAGAGTGTGGGGGAGTATGTCCTGTGGCTTTTAGCTTGTGTCCTGTTAAGATCATGGAGTGGTTGTTTATACATCTGGTCCTGCTCACCATCCTTCTAGCTATTAACCAAGGTAAGTGATGTTTACGAGATATAAGTTGCAATTAAAAAAGAAACCAACAATATTAATTTTACACCTTACTGTAAAATAAATATAAAAAAAGTAGAGACGCACCCAGAGAAATAAAGAGATCCTTGAAATATTTTAACAAATAAGTTTTATAAAACTTCAGTATTATTTCCTTTAAGCTGTATTTTATTTATTTATTCAGTATAGAATATAAATATTCTATTTTAAAAAGTTTGATGCATAAGCCTCAAAAGGCTTGTGCACAGCATTTTGATCTCACTATCGTCATTGACTATTCGTCTTCCCCTCTCATGATGTTGAGTCGATTGTAATATTAGCTTTCATACTTCTTAAAAAAGGAAAAAGTGTGTATGTTCACACCAAATTACTTAATAACAATTAAAAATAAGTACACCATTTTTAAAACAAAAAAAATTAAATCGTTTCAGGTTGAAAGTTTAAATTGAAACATACCGTACATGGAATTGACAAATGACAAAGATTAACAAGTATATTAATAATGAATTACATCGTAACACAGTGACAAGACCTATAACCATATTATGTTTTACTTTAACACACAGGCTATAAGTTATACTTCAAACAAGAACAATTAATGAAATCCATCAGGGCCAAGGACATTATTTCATTAAGTTCTACAATACAAGTTTATTTATACTATACCTAATAGCTTCTGTATCCAATAGTCAATGCTAATAGTTAAACAATAATAGATAAACACGTTAAACATAATTTGACTTATGATTAAATTTAAACTCAGATGAATTTTACTAACTTTTCCATTTAAAGAGTAACAGATTTGTGAATTTTTGAAAATACATAAACTAACTATAAAAATGATAATATACAGTGAAATGGGATTTCCTTTTATTTAAATTCAAACAGTTGGTTAAATATCAATAGTTTGTTATTTTCATTTTGAGAAACCTTTTAAAATTCTTTAGCTTATTTTGGCAGAAGAGTGTACCTTTAGTGTAGGTCAGAGCAGGATAAAGTTAAAAAAATATACCAAATTTCTGTATAACACTTTCATAAAATTGGGTATGTGGGTACTGATCTATGTATATTTCCAAGTGTTTATCAATTTTCAAAATATTTATTTTTAACGTTTCAGGGAAGCCTTAAAGGGATGGATGATATTTTCCACCCAAAAGCCAAACTCAAAAATGTTAACAAAAACTATACTTTCTCCATGTACTATGTTTAGGGAGGAAAAGTAAAAACTGATCTAAAACATAATTAATAGCGGATATTTATTTGACTTTATTAATCAAATTGTGGTTAAAAGTTGATTTCGTTTTTCTTAAACTGATTTGAATTCTTATCCTCTGTATGGTACCTGAAATTGTGTTGACGTAAATATATTTTGCCTGTCTACGTTACAGTAATATTTGGATTGAGAGACAGTCTCAAGTGTCCAGTGAGGGTGTTGAGGGGAGGGCGAGTACAACTCCGCAGCAAAGGACGAGTGGCCAAGTACGTGTGTCTGCGTAGATATCAGGTCCTGGGAGACAAATACTCTGCGTGTGTCCGTGGCAAATGGGACACTCCACTACCTGTGTGCATCAGTAAGTCAAGTACATTGCTATATTATATGTTCTTATTAAGGTTGTTCCATCCTGTGCTTAAAAAATTCTATCTTTTCCTACTAGAGCTTCTACAACCCAATCTACAAAAACTGTAACCAACAGATGTACCAGTTTTTCAATTTACAAACACCAAAAAAGTGTTATGTAATTCCAATAATAGTTTACCCTGAAGAACGTAAGCCTCTTAAAATTTGAGGTGGAGGTTTGCTGCAATTCAGCCAGAAAGTAAAGTAAAAAGAAATTAATTGCAGACCCACGGTTAAAATGTAATGGGCTTTGGGCCCAAGAGATAATTGTGTCCCCCTCCTTGTGTATAACCTTGTGGTGGAATGTTTCTCTTCCTTGCGTCCCCAACAAATCTAAAACCTCCCGCGCTCATTGTCACTCCTTACATTGTTTATATTTGCTTCATACCTGTTTGTTTGGCAATTGTATTGATGATGGTTGAATAGGTTATCGAGCTTTATCTACTGATTCAAAACCTATCGGCAGTTGATAATGGTTATAAATAAATGGATCATTAAACTTGGGATTGTTTTGAGTTTCTTTTAGTTATTAGCTATTAATGACTAATCATATTACTCAAGGATGTGTATTATGGTTTGTGCTCTCACAGGCAGTGGATGTATGCCAGTGGATGTACCTCATGGTCAGGTGCTAGAGACATACCGAGGGGCGTTGTTGACTGTGCACTGCGACCCCGGCTACACTCTCATTGGCTCTCAGAGTATCTACTGCAACGGGGCCGTGTGGAACGACACTGCACCTACCTGCAGAGGTTTGTAGCATCTACCACACAAGTTAACACTAGAATACGTAGTTACCAACTAAAATGAGTAGTAAAATAGAAGTAGACTAGAGGAATAGTCAGCTTTGACAGTGTGGTCAATCCAATTGTGGAGCATCGAATAAATTAACATGTTCGCGGTGGCACGTCAAATGGCGGGCGTATCCCCAGTGCGGCGCAGCCCTCAGTGTCGAACAAACCCGATTGCCGCGTGTGATTGGCTTTCAAATTTCGGTCTGACAAATAGCAAATAACGTGCGAGGATGTCCTGCTTTACAACGAGAGTCGACGTAGTTCGCTAAACACCCACAGATAGCAGCACTGCTTGGAACGTAGCCGGTCCCATTGGAATTATATTGCCAAATGGAGGGATAAAGACGAGACAAAAAGTCGATTTTGAGATTGCAAGATGGGGATTTTACGGGGAATATTACTACCAACCTACACCACATCAAAATACAGTATACTATTGAGCAGTGCTGTGGGAGGTTTCAAGTTTCTAGCTCTAATCCTGGCTTAAAAATAAATCATTTCGTACTGCTATGCAGCTTGGGAGCGATCGCACCAAGGATGGCATTAGGGTTCCGTATGGGAGCGATCGCTCCCATGCCGCCGCGAACGTGTTAAAGTGGTATCATGAACAACCTTGGATACCTTTATAAAGACACCTTTGTGCAAAATGTTCCTTTAGTGGAGAAATAAAATATAACTTAACAGAAAGCGGTAATTGGGAATTCATAGCTTGTACAACTTGATAACTCAACAAGGGTCAAGTATAGCCTATATAATGTTTTCAAGGTACAAACTTGTTTTTTTACTTGCAACTCGTTAACTAGCCCAGTAGCCTATGCTGGCTCGGTGAGCTTTTAGGCTTGAATAAGACATAAATCCTATGTAGAAAAATTTGGCTGTTCATTTAAAACTTACTACCTTTAAAATCAAAGGAGTTATTAGTAATTACTAATTTATATCATAAAAGTTTTACTTTTCTCCAATTAAAAATGTTTCACAGAGATAGTAGAGTCAGAACTATTACTGACCGGGCCATCCCCACCTGTGCTACGCTCGCGAACACAACAAGACCTGAGGGTGGTGGCTATTGGTGTGTTTGGTCCCGCCTTACTCTGGAGTGAAAATATTGTAAAATGCACACCCAATACACTGATCTTTGTTGGTTTCAAATCCTGTACCTGATATTCTAGAAAATATCACCGTACTTTGTTAGAACACATCTACCACTTAGTGAGGTTAACCTGTATTCTCACATTTTGTAACTCTTATCTTTGATAGGTGTTTGATTCACACAAATATGAACACACAATCATATAAACAATTGTAACTCCATGTTCAGAGGATCAAGTGACAGCCCAGAAGTGGTGTGACTTTGAGAGTGAGGACTTGTGTGGTTGGACTCACGACCAAAACCATGACTTTGACTGGAGAAGACACAACTTTGCCACACCCTCTGGTCACGTGGGCACTGGGCCGTCCTTTGACCACACTCTGGGCC